TCTTTTCTTCTATCAGTTAGCCAAGTAAATTTCCTTGGCGAAAACTAAAGAAGGTGCCTTAAAAGAGTGGAAGAGTCTTCTAGCAGTTAGGATGCCTCCATCTCGTAACAAAGATTCTCAGTTTCATACCTGGCTCTGGCTGCCATCTCCGGCTTCCTGATAATGCTGATCTTGGGAGGCAACGGCGATGGCTCAAGTAAATGAGTTCCTGCCAAGTGGGCAGGAGATCTGAATTGAGTTTCCAGCTCCCAGCTTTGGCCTCTGGCTGTTTGTCCAGCCCTGGCTGTCACAGGAATTTAAGGGTGAACTAGTGGGTGAGAGCTAGCTCACTCTGTATGTGTATGTCTGTGTGTGTGTGTGTGTGTGTGTGTGTCTTCCCTTCTCTTGTTTTTTTCTCTATTCAAATTTAAATTTTTTAATAAAATTTGAAAATGACTTTTTTAAAAAAAGGGGGGTGAGTGAAGGCAAATGTCAAATTATTTCAGATTTTTTTTTTGTCAAAACTGGACATTTACCCAAGGAAAAGGGAAAAAAAAGTTCCTCTATCATTCTCTTCTTTTTCCCCTAACAGCAGACTGGAAAAGTATAGGATGATAGATCCTTAAAGTAAGAGAATTTCTTTGTACTTTGATTGTGGTGGTATTCACATGAATGAATGGATATGATAAAATGGCATACAAGTTAATAAAAATGCACACAAATGTGAGGCGGTGGATTACATCAGTGCCAATTCCCTGGTTGTGACAAGGCACTTAATTATGCCACAAGGCATTATTAGGGGAAAACGGGGTGAAAGATATATGGGATCTCTCTGTATTATTTCCTACCACTGCATGTGGCTCTACAATTATCTTTAAAGTTTTGAAAACAAAGGAACTAAGACAACGTTTTCTTACAATGTCTCAGTAGACAAAGAGGTGATAGGAATAATCCCACTAATAAAAGCTGACTGCTGGATTTTTTTTTTCTTAAGTTTGCTTAAAATAAAGGGGATAAGCCGGCGCCGCGGCTCACTAGGCTAATCCTCCGCCTAGCGGCGCCGGCACACCGGGTTCTAGTCCCGGTCGGGGCACCGGATTCTGTCCTGGTTGCCCCTCTTCCAGGCCAGCTCTCTGCTGTGGCCAGGGAGTGCAGTGGAGGATGGCCCAAGTGCTTGGGCCCTGCACCCCATTGGAGACCAGGAGAAGCTCCTGGTTCCTGCCATGGGATCAGCGCGGTGCGCCGGCCGCAGCGCGCCGGCCGCAGTGGCCGTTGGAGGGTGAACCAACGGCAAAAGGAAGACCTTTCTCTCTGTCTCTCTCTTACTGTCCACTCTGCCTGTCAAAAAATAATAATAATAATAAAGGGGATATAAAAGAGTAATTGCAAAGGGTTAAAAATAGGAAGGCAGGAAGAGAAATCAATGCCAAACACTTCATTTTCTTCTGTTCTAAGAAAACCTTGTACCTGGTATTCATAAGAATTGAAAGGAAACAGTTGGGTGTTTGATGTTATTAGACCTAATAACGTGTTCCCATGTATCTCCTTAAAGCAGAGCTGAGGAAAGTACAGCCTGTGGGCCGTGAAAGGCTCACAAAATCATTTGGTCTGGCCCTGCCAAGGCAGCCACAGGCAGAACTTGAAATTCAGTAAATCTATAGCGGCCTAACTTTTAGGTTGTTAGTTCTGTATGGCCCGTAAATGATGTTCTAAATATCCAAATGGCCCTTGGCAGAAAAATGATCCCCACCCCAATCCTAGATCGGCTTCCAGCAAACTGTGTGCCACAAGGCCAGTCAATCAGCTACAGCAGATCCCTCAGATTGCCACACTGTATTTTCTCACCTGAAGTGTTCTTTATAAAAAAGAAATCTACTCTTAGGTGTTTCAAGTTGATCGATATTTATTGATTTGTAGATTGTACCTTCCCAGAAAGTAGGACAAGTAGCTTACCATGGATCAGTATACAGCATCCTATTGCTTACAGAATTCATAATCTCGTGTTACTTTTCCATATATTTTACAGAATTCATAACCTCATGTTATTTTTCCATATATTTGTAGGGGCTTTTCTTCAGTCATAATGAAAACCTTCCCACCCTCATCAGTGTGAACTACACAGTTCACCAGTGTGCTAGAGCATGCCCTGTGTTCTCTGTGGTTTCACTTGCATGCATGTCCTCTCCCCCCTGGAGTTCCTGTTCCTGAGGAGCAGAGCTTACCCTTGGTCAGACCAGCTCCTCTACAAGGTCCTCAGTATGGATTTCTTGTTATTTACTGTTTCCTTATTTGGCCATAATGAACTATATATTCTTCCTACTGCCTAGGTATTTCCTGTTTTTAGGTAAATTGTTTAAGGAGCTACCCAAACTCTCAAGTCATACATAAAATGAGGAGGGAAATTCCCACCAGGAGCTAGCTGTTCACTGGGAGTGCTTAAGAGATTCCCAAAGAATTCTTGTCTTGAGGTTTACATATCATTTTATGTTACCTCATTGTAGCCTCACTACAACTCTAGGTTTTCTTTTTAACTCATGAGGAAATTCAACACAAAAAACTTTGGGCCCAAATGTGTTGGTTATGAGAGATCCAGGACTTGAATCCAAGTCTACAAATTCTAAGGTGAGTGTTCATTACAGTAGGCTGCATTTTTCTCCATAAGGGAGTTACTACAGAGTCAAGTCGAAGGGCAAAGCCAAAAACCCGGGTTGAGCTGAGTTGTGCCCCTGTTGCTCCATGGATTGTTGCACTCTGGTGTGGGATAGGAGCCATCAACAGGAAAGCAGGCAGCTACCTCCTTTCTATAGGCAAGAGAGTCACACGTCTCACATAAAATTGAGCACCTCTGCACGTTGCCATACGCTTTGGGGCCCATTGTGGCCAGGGATACTGGAGAGAGGGGCAATAGTTTCAGCTCTGAAAAAACAAGTCTTCAGTCATTGCTAATTCACATAATTGCTTTCAGTCCAATGCCTACACCACTGCACTGTAAAGGGGTTGAGAATTGCAAGCATGTTCTCATCTATTTAAGGTTTCCTGAGGTCCAAATGGTGTCTAGGACATGGTATTTGCAGAAGAAGACAATGACCTATTTTTGGCCCAAGATAACAATAATCTTTAATATTCTGAATGTCGTATAGAAACATATGGAGTAAAAGAAATGACATTAGAAAATCTCTTCCTAAATATTTTGATATTTGGATTCAGTAAGCTCTCTGATAAATGCATGAATTTCAGGGTTTCTGCCCTTACATCAGACAGGTCTGTGTCAAGTAAGAGCTGATTAAGCATAGGTGTTGTCAGTTACGCAAGACAGAGTAGAAAGTATATTCTCATCTTTTTTTTTCCACAGGCAGAGTGGACAGGGAGAGAGAGAGAGACAGAGAGAAAGGTCTTCCTTTGCCGTTGGTTCACCCTCCAATGGCCGCCGCGGCCAGCACGCTGCGGCTGGTGCACCATGCTGATCCGATGGCAGGAGCCAGGTACTTCTCCTGGTCTCCCATGGGGTGCAGGGCCCAAGGACTTCGGCCATCCTCCACTGCACTCCCTGGCCACAGCAGAGAGCTGGCCTGGAAGAGGGGCAACAGGGACAGAATCCGGCGCCCCGACCAGGACAAGAACCCGGTGTGCCGGTGTCGCAAGGCGGAGGATTAGCCTAGTGAGCTATACAGAGACTTAAAAATAAGAATCAAGGTTAATAATAATATATTAACTATTTCAAAATTGCTAAAGTAATAGATTTTTTAAAGTTCATGCTACAAAAAATGAAAAGTTCATGAAATGATGGAATATGTTTAACTTGACTGAATCTTTCTATAACCTATATGTAGAATGAAACATCACATTATATCCTATAATACATACTTATAATTTGCTAATTATAGATAAGTAATTTTAAAATACTTTTGAAAGTACAATCAGTGAAATTTTGAACCTTGCACATTTAGCAGAAATTATAACTCGGGTCTATAAGTAACTTGAATAAGCATTATGTCAAAGCACTCATTTGCAAACACACAAAACTCAATTTTTGTGAGGTATCACAACAGCCTCATTGAAATAATCTTCCAAATGTTAACCTTAGGAAAGTAAAGATTAATATCAACACTGCCTCTAATCCTTGAACCTGGAGCTGCCTAATTCTGGCAGCAGCACTCACTCACAGTCTATTTATGTCCCTGTCATTCTGCGTCTCCCTCCCAAATGCCATCGAATCACTCACTAATTTTTGCTTAGAAGATGTGCAAAAAGGATTTCCATAGAGGTCTTTGGAGATTTCCTGTGTCCTCATGTGTGTAATAGGTTGGGTTGAGTAAAAATGAGGGAAAGGGAAAGAATGTAGATTTTGTTTTATGTATTTTTCTCTTTATTTTCTATTGAAAGGTGGGGGAGAGTAAAGAAGAAAATTATACCGTACCGATGATGTCAGTGTTAAATTAAATTAAGATCATATGTTGGCTTTGGCAGCTGTGATCTTTTGATTATTGAAGAGATTGTTGGTAATGAAGTACCTCTGTAAGAAGTATTTTTAGTGTATTCTGTATATATATACACACTATGAGATATGCATCTAATAAAATAATAGGTTTAGAAATAATCTAGCAACTAAATTCATGCTTTTCAAACAACTATTTATAGAAAGAAAAGTGATACTTAAGCTTCCATAGTAGAATATTGTAATCTACCTTATATTACCACTCATAATACTCTCATATTTTAAAATAATGTTATAAACATTCTATTATTTTTCACACCTACATTATATAAATTGGAAGCTTCAGGATTGTGTAAGAGAAGAATTATTTTTATAAAAGTGAGACCTCATTGTCAAGGCTTAAAGGGATTGCCATGAAACAAGTAGTGCTACAGATAAAAGTAAAGCATGCCTACATAATTTTTAAACCAAAAAAATTACAGAGGCATTTAAAATTATTTTCATCTTTTGTGCTATGAAATGAAACATAAAAGAGCGATGTGTCTGGCTATGCTCTATGTTCAGTATGTATTTCTCTCCCTGATAGGTCCTTAACACGTGCTGCAGAATCTCTGCAGACCTCGATGATGATCTCAGCCTGGGGAGAGCCTATGAAGCAGTAGCCAAGGTCTTGAGGAGGTAAGTTAGCACATCCTTGCCTTGCTGTCACTGTGAATTCACTCAACTGTGGAAGACTTAAATTGTTTGAGGTCTGTCGCTTTCCATTACTGCCTGCTTAAATTTTAAGCAGTGCCCTTCTTAAGTGACCCTTTCATTGTAAGTTATTTTAAACCCTTGTGGTATTTTAAAATATGCATCTAAACTCTTCTTTGTCTCTTCTTCCTTCGTATTATTTTCTCTTCTGTTTTCTGTAAGTTTAGTGATGACCTTGAATGAAGGGAGAAAATCAGGTCACATCTTGCAGGTTAAGAAAGCAGAGAGCACAGAAATGCACGCTTCAGTGACCAGTTTCCCATGGCCTTCCTAGATCTCTTCTTTGAGGAAAGTTTCCATTTATGCTTCAGTCATCCTTCTTCCTTTCTGACATCTCTCCATTGAGCATATCTGGATAGACAATTGGGTACAAAACCAATATTCATTTACTCTATTTAAAACATCAAATTTAACAAAAGTATAAATACAAATTTCCAATGTACAATTTTCCCATGGGAAATATATGATTTTTTTCCCTCCACTTATATTGTGATCACTGTGCACTTCATTTAATCTTTACATTATGTAGTACCATTATGACTTAAGCCATGATGGAATAGGGAGAAAAAAAGTTATCAAAGTTAAGACCTTACTTTAAGAATTCTGGTTTAGATCTGTAATTGATGCACAGTTATTCTTAAGTGTTGAAAATTAACTGAAATGTGATCCCTGTTGAACATGGTGGTGGGAATGGGAGAGGGAAGAGATGTATAATTTGGGACATGCTCAGGCTGACTTGCCCCAAGTGGTGGAGTTGGAAGCATACCAGGGGATTCCAATTCAATCCCATCGAGGTGGCATGTACCAATGCCATCTCACTGTTCCAGGTGATCAGTTTCAGTTCACAGTTGGTCATGGTGGAGGGACTGGGAGTCAAAGGGAGCACATAGACAAGGCTAGTACCTGCTAACGCTAACTGATGGAGTAAATAAAGGGGAGAGTGATCCAACATGGGAAGTGAGATACTCAGCAGACTCATAGAATGGCAGATGTCCTAAATAGCACTCTGGCCTCAGAATCAGCCCTAAAGGCATTCGGAGCTGGCTGAAAAGCTCATGAGAGTATTTCAGGCATGGAAAGCCAAGACACTCTGGCAAAAGATCTCTGCGAGTGAGATCCCAATGGAAAGAACAGGTCATCAAAGAAGGAGGTACCTTTCTCTGAAGGGAGGAGAGAACCTCCACTTTGACTATGACCTTGTCTAAACAAGATAAGAATCGGAGAACTCAGAGGGCTTCCATAGCCTTGGAAACTCATGACTGGAGCATAGGGAGATTACTGATGCCATAGACAGGAGTGTCAATTGGTAAAGTCAACAACAGGAGTCACTGTGCACTTACTCCTCATGTAGGATCTCTATCCTTAATGTGCTGTACATTGAGATTTAATGCTATAACGAGTACTCAAACAATATATTTCACTTTGTGTTTCTATGGGGGTGCAAACTGTTGAACTCCTTACTTAATGCATACTAAACTGATCCTCTGTAAAAAAAAAAAAAAAAAAAAAAAAAAAGAAATTATCAATTCCCAACTTGACTCTCACTGGGATTAAACATGACAATAGGTCTGCTCTGATTTCATCATCATTTAAAAAAAATCATCTATTATTTTTCACTTTATGTTTCTGTGTGGGAGCAAACTGTTGAAATCCATACTTAATGTATACTAAGCTGATCTTCTGTATATTAAGATAATCGAAAATGAATCTTGATGTGAATGGAAGGGGAGAGGGAGTGGGAAAGGGGAGGGTTGTGGGTGGGAGGGACGGTATGTGGGGGAAGCCATTGTAATCCATAAGTCGTACTTTGGAAATTTATATGCATTAAATAAAAGTTTAAAAAAAATAAAAATAAACAAACAGGGGCCAGTGCTGTGGCATAGGCCTCCACCTGCAGCACTGGCATCCTATATGGGCACGAAAAAAAAAATATGCAAAAAAAAAAAAAAGAATTTTTTTATATCCAGAATTATAGTTTTCTAAAAATAGTTGCAGTAGTGTAGATAGATAGATACATATACATACATATATACATAGGTAGATAAAGATCTGATTTCTTCCTGTTTATATTTAAATTGCAAGTACATACAGAGTGGTATTTTGAAAGGGAAATTGTTATTAGAAAGTCATCTAAAACATGAAATGCCTAGTGAGCTGGAGGTGGAATCACTAGTGCATATTATCATTATTAATATAATAATAATTGGTCAAAATACTAATACCAAAGAAATGGAATGGACTGTACAAAATACCAAGTAAATTATAGTCACTGCTGGGTAAGTGGTACAGAAACACAGACACAGTTATAAGGTGAGTATGAACACTAACTCAACAAAGGGAGATTGAGCCACAGGTAAGTTATTTCCAAATAAATATTGGAAACTAATCCAGGGAAGACCAACCAGCTGACCTTTAAAATTTTTCCGTACATAAATAGAGTGTCAATTGTTAAATCAACAACGGGAGTCACTGTGCACCTGCTCCCCATGTAGGACCTCTGTCCTTAATGTGTTGTACTAAGCGAATTAATGGTAACACTATTCCTCAAACAGTACTCTATACTTTGTGCGTCTGTGTGGTGCAGTCTGTTGAAATCTTTACTTAGTGTATACTAAGTTGATCTTCTGTATATAAAGATAATCGAAAATGAATCATGATGAAGAATGGGATGGGAGAGGGAGTGGGAGATGGGATGGTTGCGGGTGGGAGGGAAGTTATCAGGGGAAAAGCCACTGTAATTCAAAAGTTGTGCTTTGGAAATTTATATTTATTAAATAAAAGTTGAAAAAAAAACTTTTCCATTCCAAGTAAAAGCCAAGAAGAAACAAATGCTTGAATACAAAGAAGAGATTTATAAGTATTCAACTTAATGTCTGTTAAAATAAACCAACTCTGCTTTTTTGTTCAGTTTTGAGTCTGTTTTTACCATTGAAAGAAATTGATAGAAAATGATTATATTCTTCCTCTTGCTTTGTAGTAAATGTACCTCTTTAAATCTGTATAACCTATTTTTTTACAAAATGATATTTCCATTGTGTCTCAACATAACTAAAGAGTTTAAACTCCAGGGAAAATTTGTTTTCTTTTCATGAGCTTTTACTGTGTCACAGGACTAGTATTGGAATGCTTCCTTGGGTGCTGATAGTATTTATAATTATTTTATTTATTTATTTGAGAGGCAGAGTTACAAAGAGAAAGGTCTTCCATCCACTGGTTCACTCCCCAAATAGCTGCAACAGCCGGAGCTTAGCCTATCTTAAGCTAGGAGCCAGGAGCTTCTCCAAGTATCTTATGTGGGAGCAGAGGACCAAGCACTTGGGCCATCTTCTACTGCTTTCCCAGGCCATAGCAGAGAGCTGGATAGGAAGAGGAGCAGCCAGGACACGAACGGGCGCCCATATGGGATGCCTGCACCACAGGTGGATGCTTAGCTCATTACGCCCCCTGTAATTATTTTTGAAACTTCTGGAGACAGGAAGTTCTCCCCAAATAACTTTCACATGTTAGCCTTGTGTCTCATCTGGAGTACTTTAGTCTACACCCTATGATTTCAATTCCTAGCCCACAGAGCCAAAACTAAGAGGAGAACTAAACAGTTATCTGGTACATTTTGGCAACAACAGACAATCTGATGTTTTAATTTGGCTGCTTAAGTATTATTAGGGAGTTAGGGATGGGAGACAATGTAGCTGTATTTGAGATTTTCTGAAGTCAAGTGTGGATTTGGTAGGAATGTGAATGATTCTGTTCCAACAGTCTCAGCAACCTAGTAACTTTCCTTAGGGCAAACAGATAATGGAACAAGATTTATCCCAAATTCACTTTTATACCAAATAAAAATAATTCCACCTATAAGAATCCCTGTCTACTAAAGTACAATAATGCTGTCCATGCTTTGTGTGGCAGAGGTTCTTGATTGTGCAGTGTTAGAAAAATGCACAAGGGCAAGGGAGACGTCTCTTCTGAGGTCACAGGGGACCCAGGCCACAACAAGGCTTCAAGGCCAAATCTGCCCTTTTGCAGCACTGTTGGTGTCTATAGAGGAGTGCTCAGGGGAATGGAAGACCCCACATATTTCAACCTCTGTGCACAATAATCCAAGACTATGACCTGTTGACGGGCAGATGTTTCAAAACCAAAAATCATATGTAGGTCAACAATAGCACTCTTGGATATCTGAGAATCCTTATTAAATCAAGTCCACTAAATAGTAGAAATCCTCCTATATTAATTGTGTGGACAGTTTTAGTAAATTTTTGCTTTGCGAGCTTAATATTCTTCAATAAGCTTGCATGTACCTTTACACACTCATTGTCATCATCATGCCATCATCATCACTTTCACATTATAAACTGCGCTTCTCGGGTTTACAGCAACATACAAGGGATAGAGCACATGCAAAACAGAGGAAACCTTGGCAGGACCATCTGCGATACAAGTCATATGGTGGGTGATGTTCAGCATTCCCTCCAAATCTCTTTTCCCTAACCTGTGCAGTTCCACCAGTTTCACTAATAGTAGCTCTATTTCTATAAAAATTTCTATATAAACATATTTAATCTCCTTCAAGGAAAGAGAAGAGGAGAGCTGTGTCTAGGATAAGTGTTTGTATAAGGCCATCCACTGAGCTTCCATGAAAGGTGAATAAGCTAGAAGGCTAGAAGCATCTAAAATAGTTATAAGAATTGATTCTGAACCCTCAAGTGAAAAAAACAGCATGTTCTCTCAAGACGAAGAATTTGGGAACCCAAAGTTTCCTAGTTGATTATACTAGACTTCAGAGCTGGAATTATTGAGGAAGTTTAGCAGTGACCAAGGTTTGTTATTTTTCACAGTTCATCTGAGTAATATTAACTGCACAAGAGTTTAAGTGACATAACAAAAATACACATTTAAACATTTAAAATGCCTCCCATTGGAATACT